TACATGTAACACATTATTATTCCTGTGGTGGTTACCAATAACAATTTCTGTATATACAGAAAACTGCTGCGCACTTGGTCTTAAATTCCCCAGAGTAACTGTTCATGATCACAAATTTGGCTAAAGGATTTTTTTCATTACCCTCAAACATTTCCTTTCACCTCCAACCTCTAGGCAGAGCCATGGCTTTCCCTTTAGACCGGGGAACATAAAGCCATGGGGCCATCGGGGCTGGCTGTGCCTGACCCCGAGGGCCCTTCTGTCAATCACTGCCTCCCCATCCCTTGCTCTCTTTCACACCAGGCAGCTGTACCCATCGCTGTCAACCAGGTAACAACCAGCAAACAATAGAGGCCTGAATGCCTGGTCTAGACACTCTTTTAGCCACTTATTTGCTGCTCTTGGCAGCTGTTGAAGCATAAATAAGCAGTTTGTAATCAGAAAGCTGACATCATTGCAGCTCAGCTGAGAAGGGGAATTGTTGCTGTGCACTGAGCTGCTTTCCTCCCTTCCCCCCCCCCACCCCAGCCCCCTCCCTCCTTCATTTTGTGACAACGGATTCTGGGGTGGGGATGCAGATTTCTGCTGGGCTAAGCTGGCTTTTCTTTTTATTTCTAGACTACAATGATGTAGGCTGCAGAAAATGGCATGTGTGAGGCAATGTACTTTGCAACTATCAAAGTTGAAAATAAAAAAATCCATCTTCTAATAAATGGTGGAGTCCTGTCTTACTCCTTCAAAAAGCACTTCAAGCCTCACAAATTTTTTGAATTTGAAGGGTAATATTTCAGTAGATTGACCATAAACTGAGAATATTGGCACAACGTTTCCCTGTCCTGACTGGTATTTTTACCCCACAGTTTTGTTTTTCACCCTGTGGAAGGAGAGAGGAGGTAAAAGCAGTCATACCAGAAGTGAGTGAACACTTGCTAACAAACTCTGTTTTGTGCCAGTGTGCCTCTGTTCCTGCTTTCGAATTGCCCAGCTATGCATCTCCCATCCCTGCAAACATTTGTTGTTCAAGTACATTTCATACACTTTTAGCACTTCTCTTTTTTTCTACTTTGGGGCTCAATCATAAACAAGTTCACTGGGCAAATTTGACACAATATTTGAAACTCAAGATGGGTTCCTTGGGAAGGATTGGTGGGGTGAGACACGTGGCAGTGCTGCTGCTCCCTGACTGGGGGAAGACGAGAGCATACCCAGTGCAAATATTTGCACATGCAAATTTAGAATTCGTTTTCCACAAACACTTGCACGTATGACTTTCAAATTAGCTTTCTGAAAGCATTCATGCTGCTAAGAAACTCTAGTTCAAATATTCATATAAAGTGAACATAAAAGGGCCACAGGTTTAGGTGATTTCTTTTTTTAATTTTTTTTTTAAGAAAACAGACACCAAGTGAATATTCATGCCAAAGTCTTTGCAATGTTTGCCTAGTTCTGTTGTTTTCTGACCGTCCTCCTTTAATATTGAGAACTGATATGTGTTCATGCAGTACCAAACAGCAATGGCAAATCATGCTGCCTCAAACATATAGTTAAAATATAAACCTTATGCTCTGCAGTGCTACTTACTGATAGTAAAGTGAAAGAGTAAAGAGTGTGTAACCTTAACAATATGTAATCCATACTAAGTCCCAAAGGTTTTCCCTGAGTTTCATTCTGTCTGTCCTGGTGATGACTGTGGCAATAAATGGAAAGAGACAAAAAGGGCTTTCTGAAGGGCTTTCTCCTCCCACCGCTGTTTGTTTATCTATCTGTGTGCACTTTATGTGTGCCATGAGTAATGGAGCTGAGCTTTCTTATTCTTGTGGAACAGAACTCACATTCCACCAGTGTCAAAGTCTGATGTGTCAAAGTTTGATCTGACTGCCTGTTGGCAAACAGAGTCAGGATGAACACCAGTGTCTGTGGGGTTCACTAACTATCTGAAATATCTTCAGGTAGCTCTGTCTGTCTCCAGTCTCAACAAGAAAGAAGGCCAGTTCAACAAAAATATTGACTTTGTATCTCCCAAAGGCTTTCTAGTATTAGTTTGCTCTAAGTAGCTCATGATTTAGAGTACAAAGGCATTTCCAGAATGCATGTTTAACAAAATGACATAGCAGATAATTGAAATTTATTTGCAATTTTCAAACTACAATAAACACAATTCTCCTTTTCTTTCATTAATAATCGCACGGCTAATGCATAACAATCCCTCTGCAGCTTTTACAAGCAAACTTGAGCTGCTGTGTTGTAATAGCTGGAAAAGTTAATGTAGCTTGAACAAGGTTCCTAATTGTCCCTGTCTCTGTCATATTTGTCTACTTGAATGGTCCTAAATACCACAGCGATTAATTACTACAGAGCAGGTATTACAAGATGTTATCATCCTTCCCCAACTGTCTGGGTGAATGGAGAGAGGCAGTAGATTGTTGCAGTGTTTCATCTTTGCACTTCCTGTAAGGCACTTTAACCAGAAGATTTAATGTGTCAAAGTTAACTGCGTTCTCGCACAGATATTCACATTCTAATTAAAGATTAAGAACGTAGTACATTACACTGTGATTTGTCATACATGGCTTGTTAAATAGGAAACCTACCGGGATTCCCTAACATTTTATAAACATTATTCAGGGCTTTTAATGTGGGCAAAGGAAAAGATTATTCAGCTGCTCTGCAGAGTAGGAGGCAGGTCATTTTTCCCTCACTCCTCCATCCTGCCCAAGCTTCCCCTTTTCCAAATAAATAAATTAGAAAACTCAGATGGTTTTCAAACTGGAATTCCATTGAGATCTCTTTAAACTATTTATCTTCCCGTGCATGTGTGCACATGGATACATATATATGTATATATTTATATATATATGTAGAGAGAGAGAGACAGAGAGAGACAGAGAGATAATATATATGTCTTAATTATTTCTTGGCATTTTTCAACTTTTGCTGTCAGCTATGTAAACTGAGGTAGGAAGTCTTTGTTTGAATTAGAGTGGCAAAGGAAGGAAGAAAGATGAAACAGTTTTTCAATATGCAGAATGTGCTTTCAGATTATTCTAGCAATGCTGAGCAGCGTACCACTTCCAGTATTAGTAGCAGAGGACTGGTTCACATTCTTTGATTGCCTGAGGAATAAATTAATGAGGTTACTAGAGACATTGAACATTTGCATATTCACGGATGCTTATTAGGTATAAAGTGAATGCCAGGTGCATTGAATTTTGGGAATACTAGCTATGTATTTGGTCTTCTATTTTTAAAGCAATCACATCTTGCTTTTTCCCTAAAGTGGGAAGTTCTGTGAGTGGAAAAAAAGAAGCCTTTATAAAAATAATAACACTCAGAAAAATCAAATTAATTCAATACAGATGAAGCTTTGCTATAAGATATGCATCAGAATAAATAAGATACAGCATGAGGCTAGGGACTATCTGAATATCTTGTTTGGAACAACAGTTAGGATGATTACAAGTATAAAAACAGTTGTTCCAAGACATAAGGAGAACAAATGTTATATTTTTCACTGTGCTCCTTATGGATTTCTAGCTTTAAATAGCAGTAGGAGAACTCATTATGAAGTTACCTTCCATGACGTCCAATGCTTAATTTTTAAAACATCAATATTTTCACACATTTTGTTCCAGCAAGTCTCAAACTCAGGCTGCAAAGCACAGAAGATAGAATTACAAAATTTGCTTGACTGTTTCTCCAAGGACTATCTGCACGTGGTTGCATTGTTGTCAGTGGCTTCCGTCATCCCAGTATGAAAGCACATTGTGTGAATGATTTGCACTCTATCTCATTATTCCTGCAAGTTTTTATCTATATTGCTTATTTGGGATCTTGCATTTTTGCATTCTGAAAGATTCTATGGTATTTAGGCTTTTGGGGTTTTTTCCATCCTGTTCTTTAGCTGTCCATAATCTACATAGAGTGCAGCATTAGCACTGCTTGTCCCAGCAGAGACATATCTGTCAGTTGAAAACATGTATTGTTTGTGCTGCCTTTTGCTTCTCCTTTTTACAATGTAAGCATCAAGCATGTGCACAGACTACAGGCTTACATGCCCTGCACACAGATAAATACAAACACACATTCCCACACAGATGTGCACTTACAGAATTATTGGTATCACCTACTTCCAAGTAGCTGGTGTCGCAAAATCAAGCAGTGATAAGTGTTTTCTATGGATAATAATATTTATCTACAAACAGGCTCCCTTCTGCCCCCTTGTTTCACAGAATACTGTGCTCAACTTCCCTTTCCTGGATGTTGCACTGTGCTGATCACTGCCCTGCCTCTGCAAATCCTATTTGAAAATCTCATTTGCAGCATAACTGACAACAAAGGCATTACACGGTGTATGCCTTGCATTTTCTGCAGACTAGTCCTTGCCTTTGTAAGTTATTTCTAACTTCTAATGAAAATACTGTGTGATCAGTTGATGATCTTTTTTATTTATTAATAGTCTGTAAAATTAAGTGTGTCTAATCAAAGAATGGGTCATTTTTTAAAAGTGCAAGGTGGAATGCATTAGATCAGTGGTACAAAAAGCAGATGTTCTTTACTGCAGTAGGCCTTTCTTTAGATACTCTAAGAATCAGGGACTTAAAAATTAAATTGACGAGGATTTTGAGGTGAAATCACTCCCAGCCACTGCAAGACACAGAAATCCTCTTGAGATATACATTTTCTCTGCATTTGTTTCCAAACTGTAATTCTGTTCCACGATTAAAAAAAAAAAAAAAAAAAAAAAAAAAAAAAAAAAAAAAAAAAAAAAAAAAAAAAAAAAAAAAAAAAAAAAAAAAAAAAAGACAGAAAAATTATTTGATATTTCAGTCTCTCAGGGCAGCTTCTGAATAATTACATGCAAAGTGACCTATTAGGTATTTATTGAAAATAGTGTTGCAAAGCACAAATGTGTAATTTTTATTTCAGGAAGGTCATTTTTTAAAACATCCTTTGTAGCTGCTTCACTGACGTCCAGGGGTTTTTTGCAATCCACACGGCACAGATTTTTTTGATTATGTAGATTTTTTTTTTTTTCCTCCTCTATTGCAGTTTCATATGCAAAGCATGCATCAGCCACATCCATGCTATCTCCTAAAGCAGTCATTCTGAAACCCAATCTGGGGACAGTGCAGACTAAATAAAATTTCATTTTGATTTGGCCTCCCGCTGAGAATGGGACTGCTTTGTTTCAGCCGACAGAAGCAGCAAGCCAGAAAGGTATGTCCTGTTTTGCATGGCTGATGGTGTGACTTGAGGATCACAATCAGGCCGTTCATGCTCTCAGGGCTCGGCATCTCATCCACATCCTGAACCGTCTTTCTCTTCTCCTTGCCATTTGCTTTCCTTCTGTGCCGCCTGCCGTCTACCTGCAGGGCAGAGCTATGGCAGACCCTCGCACTATTGTTTACTTTGGCATATGTTTAATAGCTGCATGGCTGTTTCAGGGTAGGGTTTGTCTGTCCCCCCCCCCACCCATCCCTTCCCTCCCGCCCCCTTCCCCCTTCGCCTTTGTTTTTTCCCTTCCCTATCCACATTCACTTTCCTTATTTTCTAGGTGTTGAATACACAAATACTGACTTAACAGAAAATTATGTAAGTACCGCTTGCAATGCTTCAGAGATTTTACTAGGAGATCTGTAATGCAGAATTTTATTGTGAATCTGAGGAAACATTTAACAGCTTTGAAGGACTTCAGTTTTCATAGCCCTTTAGAGATGTTTAGGCAGAAAAGCAGTCACACGTTACAGTTAGTAGGAAAAAAATAAAAACACTCTTAGGAAGGGGTCTGGCTGCTTTGCCATCTTCACATGCCTTGCAGTTGCAGCTGCAGCGTTTGGCATGGGGAATGTCAGTAAATATTTCTTTACCTAAATATTAGTATTTATCTTACAGCCAGTTTTCATTACAAGAGACAATGCACAGCACTTTCCTTGCTGCTGCATGCTCCATCGTATGGAAGAGGTGTTGGCACTGGGGGGTGACCTCTGTTTTAGCCTCTGGATCATCTTTTAGACAGGACACCAGGACCTCTGAAAGACTCCTTATGATACAAACTTACTCCTCAAAAGTGTTTTTCTCTGATAAAGCTGTGCTATCCCCAGTCTGTGATTATTTTTTGGGGGGAAGAAAAAGTTTTTAGTGTGAAATAAAATAAGCATAACATTTACCTCAAACAAAGGGCAGAATTTAGTTTTGCTTACAGTTTACTTTCATATCAATAATGTCCTGTTTTCTTAGTAAGGTAGACTAGAATTATAATTCCAAATAAAAATTCAATTCTTAAAAAAAAAAAGCTAGCATGTTTTATAGAGCACTGACATCATATGCAAATTTATATCTTCATGGTGATTTAGAAACACAAAATTATGATTTTTGTGTGCAAAATGACTTTGTGCTGGGTGATATTAGTAACATCAAGTTATTCAACCAAGTCTTATGGAATGTAGATGGTCAATTAGAACACTCTCTGCACAGCTTAGCAAGTTTTGTTCTCAGCTTTTATATGTTACTTCAACTCCACATCTTTCATCAGTTTCTGACTCTCCAAAATGACAAGGGATGCAGGCCCTTGGCAAAACCACACATCCTTGCATGGCAGAGTTTTGTGACTTGAGAATTCTCTTTCTTTCTAGCTTGGTTAATTAATTTTTAAAAAAAAAAAACCATAAATAAATATGTGAGTTGGGGAATTAAGGCAGATCCAACCAAAGTTTAGAGGAAAAGAGGTAAAAATAAGATGGCTCATTGGCATCCATGAAAGGGAGGATATGCCAAATTTGAGTTTCAGCTACATACATTCACCTTGATAAACCACTACAGGATTTCCTGTACCTGGCAGGATCCAGCCCTGCATGTTTTGTTATTTAGAGATATTGATAAAGTCAAACAGAGTTTAGGAAAATCTTAAAGGAGCTATCTGTAGTGATATCACATTTTCTTTGAAAAATTTGAGGTTGTAGAGAAACTACAAAGCCGCTAAATTTATAAAAAACAAGAGCTACAGCTTTATAAAAGGATACAGTGGGGAAAATTATCAGTTCTGTGGAGTTTCTCTCAGTATCTCTAATCCTCCTGCTTCACCCCTCAGGTATGATTGGGAAGTTTTCCAAGTTACCACTTCTGCATTTTAATCTGAGTTTACAAAAATTAGTTCCAACTTTATATATACCATAACTTCATTTTAACAAATAAATACAAGTTTTAAGAGAAGCTAAAATCAATATCTTATGACAGAATATCCCAGTTTATTTATGTCAGAACTCAGTCCTGGGAAGATTTTTGTTCCAAAGAGTATTTTACATTATGACGATAGCTGAATTGAAATTAATAATGGATTTTAAAAATGGTTACATGTGCATGACTTGCAAATATATGACATTTTTTATGTAAAATACTCAAGGAAATTAACAAAAGTATTGTGTCTTTATTTATGGGGATGTACTACTTTTTATATTAGTGATATTCATTATGGTAAAGAAAAGTAATCTTAACTCCAGAATGTGCTTACTGTTCTGGATAGCTTTTTTATTAATTATCTAACTGTTGTATTTAACCAGGTATTAATGCAAACTTTATTCTGGTGCTCTTAGGAAATCAGAGTTCCTTTTTTAGATTGGTTTATTAGAGCTAGATCTTGCAGTCATCTTCTGGATAAGTAAAAGAGGTGAGTGGGTTTTGGAAGCTACTTTTGCGTTTATCACTTGCACAGAAAGAAAACTGTAAAAATATCAGCCCAAAGTCTGGAAACAAAAACTTCATTCTTTCATAGACATATAAAATTGCTGCTAGTGGACTTTCTTCTATAGCATAATTGTAATTCACTATAATTGAAAAAAAAACAAAACACAAAAACACCCCCCCCCCCGAAAAAATATATAAACCAAAGCAAACCAAACCAAAAACCAAGTACTCAGGCATGTAACAGATTTACTTTTGTGTATAATTTTTAATGTAAAGAACTTAAAAATTCTAAGTTCTTTCATTTTTCTCTCACTTTTTTTGCTTTACCTGAATAAGGAGACATGACTGAGATAAGTCATATGCATGCCTAGACACCTTTAGAGAAAACAGATCATCTCAAACAGAGAATATATAACAAATAGGAAATCTGACAAACACACTCAGGACACCGTGCTTTGCTTACTTGTTATAATACATATACATGTATGTGAATTGGCTCCATGATGCTACATACATATATATATGTGTGTGCATATATATGTATGCACATGTAAATGCCTTTGTACAAATCCAGAGAATGAGAGAGAGAGGGATGAAAGACACTGTCACCAAAGATCCAGGGCCCCATCAATGTCACATGGGCAAGTGTTGTTACTGTGACAAAATCCTGCATGACCTGTGCATTTGCTGATCTCCAGCCTATCTGAACTTCTCAGAAACTTCACAGCTGATTGTCTCAGGAAATTGTTCTGGAACAAATTCATGGTTGTCCAATGTTAGTATCTGCTTAAAAACTGGCTGCGGTCAATACGATCGCACATGAAAATCTCATTTCAAGACTGGGGCCTAAAGTTCTGATAGTAGCCCTATGGCCAAAGCAAAACTAACAAAAAAACTTGGGGAAAAAGGTGGCAGAATTCTGTCATAACACTGGACTTGGAACCTGCCAACAGAATGAATAGGCAATTCATTGAACTCAAACTCCTCACACTGATGTTCTTGCTTTATACACCTGATTTGACCAACACCAATAAAAAAGGTCTAAAAAACTCAGAAAAGATACTATAAAATTGCATATCAAAGGGCAATTGACTAGCAGCAGATACTATAAAATTATATATCAAAGGCAAGCAGTAATATCCTGTCAGCAAGTATGAGAATAGGAACCCATTGTGTTCAGAGTCATATAGGGTTAAGGAGCAGAATTGCTTTACTCTGGGATATTTTTACCCAATCTCCTTAGATATAATAAAAGCAAAACCCAAAACTAGATTTTTTTTTAAAAAAAGAGAAAAGTTAATCATAGACTTACCGATGAAGTTCACTGAAGTAACAGAATGTTAAAAAAATAATGCCATTGCTTAGCCCTTCATTTGATAATGTTTCAGGCTTACAGAAAGTTGCATTTCTTGCTCACAAAAAAGCAAAGCAGGGGCTTTCTTAGCTTTAAGGATGTATTCTCTACTAGAGAAGTTATTCTTCCTATAATTATTGTTTTAAATAAAAATTTAATAAAACAATCTCAGAAGCTGATCAAATGTCTGAGTGTAAATTAAAAATGAGCTTTGGACCAAAGCTAAAAAAACAGAGACAACAAGCTGGCATTAACTTTTTTTAGAAGTAGAGGCAGAATCAAAGCTTCGCCCAGCAACTACAGAGAAATCTAATATTTCCTGAGTGGGGAGAGAAGAAAGCTTGGAAACTGTAGGAAAACATGGACCAGAAAATCATGTTATTTCTAACCTATACACACCACTGGGATTTCCACCACTGGGATGACCTTCTCAGAAAAAGCTACACCCAGGTAAAATGCTTCTAAGAAGTAAGTTTTGACAGATATTCAAAAAACAGAAGTGCTGGCAATGCATATCTTGAAAGATTTTCTTAAAAAAATGCATAATGGCCTCCCATGTAACTGGGAATATAAATGTGTCAAAATATTACTGATTATATTAAAAATAAAATAGAAAACTTGTATTAGTCAACTATTTGTCAGTCTTTTCTTATTAAAGGTTGAAAGAATATTTTTATCTCCAAAATAAGGGTTAGATGGAAGAAATTACTAGTGAATGTCTAATGGGTGTTATATAGACCAGAAATGGATTGCAGATTAATAGAAGCATCCTCTCCTTCATTAAGTGTTCTTTACCCGATGGGGGTGGAGAAGGTTAGGTTATAGCAGCATTATGTCCTCACAATAAAAATACATTTAATCTCCTAGTGTCTACTGCAATTGGTAATTCATTGTATATAATTTTCTTTATTTTTGAAACCCTTTCCATCCACCAGCTGTCTGACAAAAACAAGCATGAAACATTCTGCAAATAAACTTTTGAAATTATTTGCATTCAATGGGAAAATTCCACTACTAAAAGAGTATTCATTAACTTTTTCTTGTGATGGAAAAATCTCAGAAGATTCAGACAATTGATTCAAACATGTATAACAACATCAATATTTGTCTGCAGTGTTTCAAAAAAAAAAAAAATCTGCCCTCATTTTATCTAGGAACCTCAAAATAATCAGAATTTTAGTTGTTCATTAATGATGTCTAGTTTTACTTCTGCCCCCTCCTGAGGTTCCTTTACTTCATCAAGCAGAACAATATTTCCTCATGGGTGACAGACTACATTGCAGAGGAAATTAATTTCTTTTCCAATACATGTTTCTTCCAGAAGTAACCCACAAAATCTTGATTCAGAAAGCAGCTACATGAGGTACTAAGAAACATTTTCTTCCATAGGTTTCTTTGGTTGGCTGGTTGGTTGGTTGGTTGGTTGTTTTTCTTCTCTCTCCCTGAATAAAAATTTGCCTAGGTATGTGTAGTGTTCTTACTTCTGTGTAGGTAACAAAAGATGATTTTTGCACCTTAAAATGGGAACAAGAAAGGAAAAGCCACAGGAATATTTACA